AATTTTAGTATTATACATTAGTTAATTTCTTAATTTAAAAATATATATTAAAACAAAATTTCTAAATATATATTTTTTGTGTGGCATGTTGAATGCAGCTTTGGTTCAAATTAGATGTTAGTGATGTCCAAGTACAAATTCTATAGTTTTTTTTATGAATTAGAAACTCAAATTACCATATATACAAGCTAGAATATAAAATAAGAACCTCCTATCTTTTCTATTTACTGAGATATTAATGTATTTATTGAATCAAATACTCCGACCTTGCCCACCTCTTCCATTTTTCGAAATATTTGCTTATGTACACCCGATATGCCCTATCATGGCTTTATAACCAATCAAAAGCTCAGAATTTCCCCCACATGATTTTCTCAGCCTATTCAAGGTGTCTGCTTCCCAAGATTGATCTTTTTGTTCACATTCTTGGATGGAAGAGATAAAAAAAATGGTGTTCCAAAAACAATATTTTGTTAGATCAAAATAGCTTAGTTAGTAAGCCTGATAAATTACAGGGGAATTCTGTGATATTGGTAGTGTAATTTTTAATTAACTGTTATTTCAAAACGCATGTATAAAACCTAAAAAAGTTATTTTGTTTTACATCCTCCACGTGTAAAATTTGGTAAGGCTTAGCATGCAAGGTACGGCAAATGAGTAAACTTCTTTACAATCGTAGATAGTAGAGATCATGGTTTTCTTTTTTACTTATTTACTGTTTTATGGTAAATAAAAATAACTGAAATTTAAGAATTTATTAAGTAATAATAATAATATACACACATATGTAATGTATTAGAACCAAAATGTGACCGTACTTTACAAAATACAAAGCCAAGACAGACCACTTTGTAAATGCCAGTACTGTGCTATTGCATACGGTAACATGAGATGCACGTGCACCATGATTGCAACTTCCGTATTGTTGGTCAGAAACAGCTGGAAGGCCAATAAAATAAAAATAAGTACAAATAGGTGTATAATGTTATGGGATTTATGCTATTTAGAATATATACTTGTGGTTTAATGTTACAATTTGTAGAAATTCTAGAACAAAAAATGTGTAACTTAAATCTTATTTCCTAATTTTTTTATGGTTGTTACGACGTCGGTCAATTTGACCCAACTCGTACAGAGATAAGATAGAAAAATAACAGATAAAATATAAATCTTTTATAAAAAAAAACATTTGATATTTATCTGGATTTTATTAAGAGGATACAGAGGTTTCACAAATGAAGTCTGACATTTTCCTGATGCATAAAGGTATTTTTAATCTTAAAATCAAAATAACTCTGCATGTGGAACTGTTAAAATTTGAAAAGAAAAAATACAAGAGTAAATTTTTATTTACAAAATCTGATATTTTGTGTATGAAAGCCTTGTTATATTTAATGATAATCTTCCAAATTTCGTGAAGATACATATACTGTATTAAAATTTATAGTACGAAAACTTTAACAAACACAAAAATGGTTATGAGGTTGGTCCCTGTTTTCAAACTTATTTTTGAGCCATTGGTGGACAAATATTACAGTCAAGATTTAAATGTGATTTCAGATAATTTATTACATATTGTAACATAATAAAATTAGTAACCATCTTGAGAGATTATCGAGGTTGAGCTGATACAAAGTATGTTCTAAGCAGTTACATTCAACAGTAATATTTTTAGATATTTAACAACTACGGTAGCTAGCACTAACACTGACTCTCTTTAAAACACGATGAATGATACATTAGAACTACAAACTTACGTGGGATGCACCTTTTCTTCCTATATATATATATATATTAAATATAAACACACAGCTATTAATGTTATTCTGAGCCATTCTATTCAAACTACAGCATTTACCAATTTTTACCAAGCTAATTTTGTGCATGTGATGGTTTCAGGTTACAAGTTAAGGGATTGAAATTCAAGTTAATTGTGGTATTTCCAAAGATAGCTTTTCAATTTGTTATTTACTTACATGAAATTGGTAGGGAGTCCAATTTGTTATTTACTTACATGAAATTGGTAGGGAGTCCAATTTGTTATTTACTTACATGAAATTGGTAGGGAGTCCAATTTGTTATTTACTTACATGAAA